TTTTCTTCCCACATACCATCTCCCTGCCTGTTTTCTGAACTTCTGTCATGTCTTTCTTTGTGGTCATATTGTTACACTCCAAATGTCCATACAGATTTATATCTTTCTCCGAGCTCTCTAAAAACTGCTTGCAAAACTCCTCAAAATCGTCTTCACAACAAACAGCGGAAGTATCAGAAGATGATCCTGAGTTGTTCTGGGATGATTTTGGACAGATATCAATTTCTGCTGCTGGCAATGAACTTTCAATCACATCATTCTGTTCTGAAGTAAAATTCAGTTGTATGTTGGTTGGAGAGTCGAAAGTAGACGGATCATATTGACTACATCCGGTTCCTTTATGATTACTGTGCATTTCAACAATTTCATCCGATGGCTCTGAGCCAGCTCTTCTCTTGTACACGTTCTCATTAACACCTGCGTTTCTTTTCTGTGCTCCAAGAAATGGGTCATAGAAACATTTATTTGATTCTTCTGAGGCCACATTGGTTCGCATTTTACTGTCTGCTGTGCGATACGGCACCTCTCCTTTGTCATTAGAGCCATATTCTTGCCTTATGATATCATGATCAACAAATTTCTTCATGCATGCTAATTTTGAAAAATTTCTGGAAGATGCAATAATTTCAGAATTACCAGCATCTTTAACACTTGAAACTGAAAATAAATTTATGTCATTCTGATGTAATCTCTCTTTCCTGTTGCCTGTGCTTTTATCTGCATTATCAATATTCCTCTTTTTCACTATTTTATCATTTAATAGTTCCTTCTTTCTGACAGAAGTAGTTTTACTTTGGATAGAATTTTCTGGCTCTGTAATTAAAGATGGAAGAGTTCTACTGAAAGATGTAGTTGTTACATCATGACATGGAAGAATATTAATTTCTACAGGAAGTACTTCATCAAATTTGTCATTTTCATTACTACGGAATACGTCAACTTCTGGCAGTCGATTTTCTACTGCACGTGACACAAATGTTTCAACACTTGGGTCCTTAGAAGATTTCTTTCCACGCGAAATACGTTTTTCGGTATTTGCCTTACGCAATGTACTTTTCTCAATTTTTGGTCTAGTATTGCCATTCTCTTTTCTGGGACGCGAGGGTTGGCCGCTAAGTTGTTTCGGTAACAGGACCTGTTTCAATTTCTGTTTACCTGGGAACATTGATCTTCTCTTTTTCTCATAAGTTACTTTAGGTTTCTGAACAAATTCCGATCTTTTTGGTTTTGTATTCTCCATCCAGCTAATAACACTGTCACTGTCCGTCTCTAGGTCAGAATATACTGAGTTGTACATTGGCTGTTGCACTTTTTCTTTGTAATTCTTCTCCATTTTACGTTTTGTTACATCTTCCAGATACTTATTATGCCACCTGCCACTAAAACTCTTCATAGATAACTGAGTAGATTTTGACGCGTCTAACTGTCTTTCCTGTGAGAACCCTCCAAAACTTGAAACATTAACTCCCAAATGTTCCCCTTCACTACATCCTGAAGTAACTTCTTTCTTCTTTCGTTGTTTGTTTCCTCCACCTCGAGATTTCTTAGTCTGTGGTTCAGATACATTATTTTTTCTACTTCTCTTCCTCCCTCTAGAAAGACGTGTAACTGCAACATATTGGATCGAAGAGGCGTCATCACAATTCTGCAGTTCATTTACCTCAGGACTATGAGGCAAAGAATACAGTCTCCTTTTTCGAGATGGTGTTTTAATGCTATCACTGCTCTTTTCTTGGGTCTTGGATACTTGGTCCAGTGCCTCTGACGAAAGATCTTTATTGGTAAGAGCCAGTCCATCCAGCTGTTTAAAATTACCAGCGTTTGGATCTGAATATTTTTTTTTTAAATTGTGTGACTTTACATTATTTGGATCATCTAATTCCTTGATACTGCCTGAATTAAGGGCATATTTTGTCTTTGAATTCTCACACAATTTCAATTCCTCATTTTTGGATTTTGGCGTATTTTCATCTACATTTTGGAGATCCACGAAGACTGTATGTGATAACAATGGTGACTTTGAATGTTTATGTGACAGCACATTCAATGATAATTTTTTATTCTTTCCATTAACATCTGCAGCTTCACCCAACAGTATACCTTCATGATTATCATCACCTTCGTTACTGTCACAATCTTTAAGAATTTGCTGTATTTTGTCTGCTGATGGATTTGTAATTATTTCCAAATCTTGGGACCTCGTATCCTTGTAAGATGGCTCTGTGTCACTGTTCCAGTCATTAATTAACTGCTGTAACATGGAGGAGTCAAATCCAGAACGATTTGGCTTTCTAGTAACACAAGACCCCTGGACACACTTCTCTACGTTCTTTTCAGTTTCCATTCTTGAAACGCCTCTTGATATACCAGCATCGGCATTGCAGCTATTACCTCCTACTGAAGAATCATTTTTTGAAATGGTTTTTTGATGTTTCTGGATGTCTGAGGTACAAGCAGTGTCACACAGGGATGACAGCATTCTGTATTCAGAACTATCATGCGAACCGCGAGATGATGGGTCATTGTTTGTTAAAATTTTGGAACCACGAGAATCTTTACTGTCTATTCTATCATTGTGTGGCTGTTTTGTGTAATGTTCTGAAGTAGCATCAGTTTTAGAATGGACCTTACCCAGGGTCTTCCCAGCATCATGCAGCTTCCGAGCAGTGGGCATCATGCTGAACTCAGAATGAGCTTGATAGTCAACTGTCCTCTCTTGTTTGCCTGCTTCAGGTTCTTCTTGACGTTTCACACCTAGTCTTGTTGATTTGCCGGCTGTTGGTTTTGTCAGCGAACAGAAGTTGCTCACAGAAGAACTGATCACTTCCTCCTGTTGTCTGTTATGTAGCGTTTTAGATGTCTTGGTTCTCTTTTTAGAACTCGCTGTCTTCTTTTCTTCAACAAAGTCTGATTCACTTTGTGTATTATTTTTTAATGACTCTACCTGTTCAAGTTTCTTACATGGTTTTCTCGATTTTTCAACTTTTGGTTCTGCTACTGAATCAGACTTATTCACAACACGTCCCACTATCTCCTGCTGCTGTTTATGCGGTTCTGTCAACTTCTCCGTTATTTTTCTAGAGCTTAATGTCTCCTTGTGTTCAGTAACATTTTGTGGGTTATTTTTCAATGTCTCAAATTCTTCATTAGGTTTACCACTCACTTTTGATCTGTTAACAGTTGGTTTAGAAAGTAAATCTGGATGAAGAGCACAGTCCCTTACTTCTTGCGGTTGCACGTTATTTAACCTCACCTTTCCGTCAATATTGTTTCTGCAATATGCTGTTTTCCTACATTCAACAAAGGCTGAATTGTGCTGTGCATTATTTTGCAATATGTCAATTTGTTCTTGAGATTTCCTTGTGAATGCCCTTGTTCTTACACCTACAGGTTTCGCCAAAGTATCAAAGTTATTTACAGCACAACTTCCCATTTTTTCCTTCTGTTTAAATGTTCTGAGTGTTTCTGTGTTTCTGAAACTTGCATCTGTATCATCTTCCACAAAGCCCGAATTGTTCTGCATATTAATTTCCAACAAACCCGCGTATTCTTGAGGCTTGTCACAGACTCTTTTTAAACTGACAGCTACATCCCTCCTGGTCTGGGGTTTTAATTTTTCACGAGATTCTGATTTGTCCATAGCACAATTTTCTGATAATGAAACTTCTGTCTGTTTCTTATTAAGCAGCCTTTTAGATCTACTGAGTATCTTCCTGGAACTTGATGCCTGTTTATCTTCAATAAAATCTAAGTTATTCTGTGTATTATTTTTCAATTTTAAAATGTCATTATCTTTGTAGGGTTCATGCAAAATATCTACCATTTTCTTAGAGGAGGTATTTCTTGTATCAGCCTTTGCAGAATCTGAGGTATTCAATAAAATATTCCCTGAGCAAGAAGGACTGACATCCTTACTAGATAGTCTTTTAGACACTCCTTTAAATGGTGTTTTGTACTTTGCAACCTGCTGATTTTCTGCAATTTTAGAATCATTTTTTGCAGTATTCTCTAGAGCTAAACACTTATCCTGCTCTTGGCACTTATAAAGTGAAGTACCTGACTTTTCAGCTGCATTTGCTTTAATGTCAGATATCAATTTACCTTCTTGAGGATCTGAAATAAGTGAAAAATTATCCTTTGACACTGATGCGTCAGCATATCCCAAGTTACGTGTCCCTTTGCAAAGTCTTCTAACTGTAACAGTGGAAACTGTTGCCTGCTGAATTTCAATTATATCTGAGTAACTGTATACATTATTCTGAGTGTCTGAAAGCGTAACTTGTTCTGGCGGTCTGTTACGGATCTCCTCAGTCTTATGTAACATGATTACTTTTGTACTGCCCATATTTTTTTTATTTTGGGTTGTTGATCTGCTCTCTGGAACTGATCCTGCAGTCAATTTTTTACTTGTATCCTTCTGAAACTCTACACTGCTACGTACGTTATCAGAGAATGAAACCTCAGTTATTTCTGCAGGTTTGTGTAATAATTCTTTTGGTTCCTCAAACAAGGCAACTTCTGTTACTCCTACCTCCTTAACTTTCTTAAACTCTGCACTGTCTTCTGAATTGTGCTCAGTCAGTTCTCGTGGTCTGCGTGATAACTCATTTTGTCTCCCAAGTGATGTTTTGATGCTTGAGGGTATCTCATCTTCCCCAAGATTTGAATTTACTTCAACGCTATTTTCTGACAATTCCGTCCTCTCTGGTTGCATTGTCACGGAACTTGATTTGACACATTCATTTGTTTTATAACATTTTTGTTTACGCTCATCTTTCCTAATGAAACTGGGCTTTATATTGTCTTTTAAAC